ACTGAAGTGAAAATTCTTTTTTTTTCATTTAATTTTATTTTTTAGGTGGAATCTCACTCTTTCCCAGGTTGGAGGGCAGTGGCACAATCTCGGCTTACTGCAACCTCCGCCTCCCAGGTTCAAGTCATTCTTTGGCATCAACCTCCCGAGCAGCTGGGATTACAGGCACCTGCTACTACATCCAGCTAATTTTCTATTTTTAGTAGAGACAGGGGTTTCTCCATGTTGGCCTGGTCTGCAAGACCTTATCTCTTTAAAAAAAAAAGAAAGAAAGAAAGAAATTCATTTGAAAGTAAAGGAGGTGCCGGGCACGGTGGCTCAAGCCTGTAATCCCAGCACTTCAGGACGCTGAGGTGGGTGGATCACCTGAGGTCAGGAGTTGGAGACCAGCCGGGCCAACATGGTGACACCTCATCTCTATTTAAAAAAAAAAAAAAAAAGAAAGAAAGTAAGTAAAGGAAGTGCAGCAATGGGCTCCTGCCCATGGAATCTCTAATAGAATCTTACTATCATCCCCATCACCCAGAAGCAACTGGCCTACATGAAAGGTAGAATGAGTCATCAATGATTCCATTAAAGTACCAACTGGGAAACAATCCCCTGAAAGAACGGGAGTGACTTACAGGACACAGTCCATGCTTTGAATGAGAGACCACTCTATGTTTCCCCAGAGTGAGAGTTTATGGGACTGGGAACCCGGGAACGTGAGTAGGAATGGGTCCTCTCTCTGTTATACACAACAGCTTGGAGAATTGCTTCTCTCAACAGCTTTGAGCTCTGCTGGTTCAGAGATTTTGGTCCTCATGGGGAGTAATGCTTCCATGGGGAGCACAACAATGGATCCATGAACTGGGAGAAAAGACCTGCCTTGGCCTCCCAAAGTGCTGGGATTACAGGTGTGAGTCACCGTGCCTGGCCCTACTTGTGGCTCTTAAATGGAAAAACCTAACATTAAATTTACAAGCATAGTTTGAAAGTGTTAAGGGAATTTAAAAGCTATAAAAGCCCTCTTTAAAAGAGATTGTGGCCAGACACAGTGGCTCAGGCCTGTGATTCCAGCACTTTGGAAGGCCAAGGCAGACGGATCACCTGAGGTCACGGGTTTGAGACCAGCCTGGCCAACGTGGTGTAACCTGTCTGTACTAAAAACTACAGAAATTATCCGGGTATGTTGGCGGATGCCCGTCATCCCAGCTACTTGGGAGGCTGAGTCACAAGAATCACTTAAACCCAGGAGGTAGAGGTTGCAGTGAACCAAGGTGGCACCACTGCACAACAACCTGGGTGACAGAGCAAGATTCTATCTAAAAAAAAAAAAAAAAAATGAAATAAATAAATAAGATTGTTAAAATATTTTAGCCGGGCACGGTGGCTCAAGCCTGTAATCCCAGCACTTTGGGAGGCCGAGCGGGGTGGATCACCTGAGGTCA